TGACTCGAGGCCATCTGTAATGCAGCTCTGCATGGAGAAAGGCCACTGATTAGTTCATCTCTAATGGTTCGACTGTGTGTAGAGGGGAGGGGAAACACCTGCCAGTTAATTATGAGGCGCCTCATCTGGGCAGAGAGCAGATTGCTAAATTGGCTGGCTGAGGAAATGACGGACACATGAGTGGTCCTCAGCTGGTTTACAGTCAGACATTTGTGTGAATTTTAAGTATTTCAAATGAAAACCAATCAAATGTCTTATATTATAGTATATTATATTTAATAAAATGTTGGACTGAATGTTACAATTCACAGATAAAATTTTCAATATAGTTCTAGATATTGTTTAAGATTTTTGAGATAATCTCCAGAAATTAGATTATTGCTGTCTTCAATCATAACAAGTTTCCTATCATAGCTGTGTGGTAGCAGGTACATTCTCAATAATACCTTTTTTTTAAGTCTTCACTTGACAACTGCAAGGAAAATAACCTGACTACATTCAGATGGTTTGTTACACAGAGACCACACTCGGACCCTTCTCGTTAAACCGCACTCGTAGCTCGTGCCGTAGTTCCTGAACTGACTGGACACAGGTGCATTGCTTGAAGCCTGGCGAGATCGATTCTGTGTGATCTCGTGATCTTACGAGTCCAGCTGTTTCACATGGTTACAAGGAAACATCTGCTGTCGGATTTTTTTCTTAATTGACAAATATGTACTGTACCGGTCTCGGGCCTAGGCAAGAGCCACTGTTATAGCAATAACTATAATTAAAATGGAACTTAACAGGCAATTAGTCTACAAACAACTTTAGAGATAGGACACCAGCTGCAGCTCTCTTCTCCAGCTCACACACACACACACACACACACACACACACACACACACACACACACACACACACACACACACACACACACACACACACACACACACACACACACACACACACACACACACACACACACACACACACACACACACCTCTATTTATCTGGGGAGTACAAGAGCATGTGTCCTTACTTGTGCTCATGCAAGAGACACAAAAGCACTGTCATACATACACAAGGCATTTCAGACATCCTTGGAGATGCAGACTTAGGGATGAGACAATGGTGATGCAACAGCATTCATCAAAAGCAACACGTTCTCAAAACTAATCCTGCTCGGGCACCTTTTCCCGGCTTTAAATCAATACCCTTAAGCTACATTAATCTTTCATCTCATCCAAACAGACTATATACAGAATGTTCAGACAATTCCCACGACACCAAGTTAGACAATGAATGAACAAGTCATACACAGACTGTGCCATTTGTTCTGAGGACAGACAAGGACTGGTTATTGTTTTAGGGACAACATGCATTTGACACATCAGCTGACATTTTGTCACGGATGTCACGACTTTATAAGCACATTATTCTGCCAGGAAGTCAGAAAACAGATGTGTGACACTCTGTCATGGTGTTGCCCATGACAATGTTACATAAAATCTTAAACCTTAGACTGCAAGTGGGTGTTGCTTATCGACACAGTAGTGTTATTTACACTGTCTGTGGGGGGTATATGCCGGTTTTGAAGGGGGTTTAGGGGTTGAGCACTTATCTGTTGCTTGTTAATGGTTCTGTAAAAAATCTCTGCAGTGACAGTAAGGTGAGAAATTCAATGAAGCCAATAGCTTTATGCTAAGAAATGCAAAAGAAAATTGTGTAGTTTTCCCCACACAGCATGTCGATGGGGCTTCATGTACACGGCCCGACATCTTTAGAGGGGGGCTATCGCAAATCCAAAACACCCAAGTGAACTGCTCTGGCCTTGACTGACGCAACCTGTTCTGAGCTGCTGATTTTATACTGCTCAAGTGTCTAATGAGGATCAAAGACAGGAAGAGGAAGGTTCCTAGGGACCCCCTGTTGTTAACTTAATTAAAACCCAACACTGATCCCCTTCAGTCACTGTGGTGATAATGCCCCTCAGCCAGTTGAAGCTCAGCCATGCAAAAAAAACCAGGTCATTGAAAAAAAAAAAAAAAACTTCTTGTGGTTTGGTTATTTTATATTTGAAAATACTGACTGGACATAAGTTTCCCCTGTGTTTTCTTTCAAAAATGATGCCTTCTTTGTCCTTCAGTAGTCAAATGAATTTGCTCTCAGGCATAACAATAACATTTAGCTCATTTTTTTTGCACATTCAAAAAAAATAAAAAATACCCTGTGTAACAAATTTGTTAAATGTTCTGTCATCTCAGTATGCCAGGTAGTCTCAAGCATTGTTTTTTTCCCTGCTGTTTCTGCAGAAATATGAGACTTCTATGGCCACAGTAAAGCAAGGCTGACTCTCACCAAGTGATTTACAGAACTTTGGTATTGTATAATAAATCTATTTACTGTTCACCTTTTACACTGATACGTTGGGCTTAAAATGTAGATTTCTCCAAACCAATGTGAAGATAAGTGAGCGCTCTAACAGGGGGAAAGTGCTTTGTGTTTAATGCAAACGTCAGGGGCATACATTTAAATCACCTCTAGTGATGCATGCTCGCTGCTCTGATTTGAATACCAGTCAAGTCAAATGTATTTAAATTACCCCATCCAAATGTGTTTCCAAACCACAGCTATCCAACTGCTTCGAGGGAAAAAAGAAAGAAAAATGCTGTGTCTGATGTTGACATTGTTCAAGTTAGATGAGAAGATCAATTTCCTCTCTGTGTGCTCAATATGGCCACTTCGTTTGAGCTTAAATTTATCACAAACTGTGCAACGAGGTCGACACAACTAGCCTAGCTTTGTTGTCCGTCTTCCAACACGTGCAATAATGTCTTATTTAGACGTACGTGTGTTTTTAAACTTACAGTACCGTGGAGGTTGTGTTCCCATGGTGAAGTTGCTTCGACGTATTTGTGACCAATTTGAAAAGCTAACAAGACACACTAACGGCTAACGGGTCACGTTTTAGAACAATTTTACCCCGCTAGTTATTGTGCTAACCAACGCTAAGTCCCAGGCTTATATGCGTCTTTATTGAGTCAGTTACACAAACATGGGTTGCTAATAAATTAATAAATGAATTAAACTAAAAAGACATGATGGTATAGTGTCAGAGCTACCAAAACTTAAGTACAAGAGCGATAGCATGAACTGCGATAATAGTAGGGCCATTTTGTCTGCTAAACATGACATGGAGTTGAGAATAACTGTGCTGATGCATTTGACAGGACTGAGGGTTTAACATTGCTCGAGGACGATCAATGCAAAGCCAGAAAGCTTGGTCCAGATGGCCTGACCGGAGGATTAAGATCAATTTATGTAGCGTGTTGAAACAATCTGCCTTTGACTAGCATTTTAGGACAAGAGCCTGTCCCGTTAAATAGGGCTTAATCTTCTTTACTTAAAGACTAATGGTAAGATGATTTTTAACATGTTTGGGCGATGTACATTTCAGTCGATAGAAATAATTTTGTTGACCTTATGTAACTGACTCATCAATCACTAGAGATGCAGGCGATAGGAGTGAAGAGGGATGTTGCAGGCTTCTTTCTAGGATTATTTAAAACCTATTTGACAATGCTTCTAGATTGGACATACATTTTTTTTTTATATATTTTCTAATGCAGCTGGTCTGGTCTTTGGTCAAAGGTAAAATATCTAAACCACTCTGGTTTAGTCTGGGTATGTGGATTCACAGGTGGCTTAGACATTTGTGTCGGTTTTTAAGTTCCAGCCACATCAATTGGACCGGCTCAGGCAAACAACAGCAAAGTAATTGGGTATCATGCAAATAACAAAACATTTTAAAAGAAAATGGGGTTTGTTTAAGTGAGAAAAAAAAAAAAAAAAAAGGACCACACCATTGTTTTTGCATCTTTAGCTCAATCTCATACGCTTTACCACCGTCCATTTGTCACTGCCTTTTTAAGACAGCCATTGGTTTCAGTTCATGTCAGTATGGTATGAAAATGATCTTGCAAAGACAAATGGTTGCCTACTTAGCCTTTAGCCTTTGGTAACTATCCAAATTATCTTGTGGTATTGCAGTTAAGAGCAGAGACCACTTCTGAAAGTTCTTGTCCACTGCCAGACAGCAACATTTTTCCTAATATTAACAGTCCTTAAATTACCCTTCTAGCAACATACACAGTTGGTTATTATGCTGGAGTTTTTAATTATGAGGCTTGTAAATTATCTGGGTCCAATATTAATAATCCATACAAGGTTTGCAATACAGTGCACAGAAACAATCAGTTGGGAACACGTTGGACATTTTGGCATCCATGTTATCACAATATTGGTTCAAAGGCACTCAAGTTTCAACAACAAGGTTTTACAGTAAAAAAAAAAAAAAAAAAAAAAAAAGCAATAAAAATTCTTAATACACTTCTTGTGCAACATCTCTGTTTAAGGCATTAATCAGTAACAATGGACTGTAGGTAACTATGAGAAAGCCTCCTTGTACCCACCAGTAGTTCCAAGCAGTATACAAAAGAAAAGAAGGTCAAGACCGGCAATGAAAAACAAAAAAGCCTGAAACTGTGTCATGTCAGTTCTGTATAGCTGGCTGTAAAGTAAAGCCAAAGAACTTGCTTTTGTCTGCGGGGAGTATGTCTGCTCTGGGACAATGTTACTCTCGCTCTTTCAGTCTGTCTCTCTGAGGGGTTTTGCTGCAGCCTAGAGACACAGCAGTCTAATTGACGAGTGCTGGGCTTTGTTTTATCTTGGCAGCCACACAGCAATGCTGACTTAATGTTGCCAATGGACAGATGGCCTGCCACAATGCTGAATGGCCAGCAGAAGCACCAGACTGACCCTCCACACAAGAACTAGTGTCCCTCTGATCTCAATCCCTACCCCTCCGCATTAGTCTCTGGGTCCAAATTGATAATCCTTACAAAAGGTTTGCAATGTGGCTTCAACACATAAATGGCAGTTCCGGCTCAAAACATTCAACATACAAATATACATAAATACTGGGTGGTTTTGGAAAGGACTGGTGAAGTGGACTCACATGTGTGGACTAAGTTCATAGAAGTTCCTGTTCCGATACTCTTCCACTTTGTCTGGTGTGTAGATGGGCAGGGACCTGTAGGGGTTCATGGAGATCACCACACTGCCAATGTATGTCTGGGAGGGAGAAGAAAAACAGTTAGTGTGAATCCACCTGGCCTTTTTTAGTATTTCACAGTGACTGACAGGAGTGCTGGTTTCAACAACTTGTCCTCCCATGATCCATCTGTCCATTTGGTTTTTTAATTGTTAAGTCGAAGTGGGAGTAATTCTGCCTCTGTCAGCCTTTCCCAGCTGGGCATTCTTAATGCATTGTTGAGGCATGCAATGCCTCAAGTGAAACTGCAGACACGTAAAAACAAAGAAAAGTTGATGGAATCTGTGGGCTGGGCAGTAAACACAGACTGCAAAGAGGTCAAGGTGCTGAAGGATGTTTTTAGTAAGTGTGTGTGTCTGTGTTATGAAAGTATTCGTGCTGTCACAGCAATGCCTCAGCAATTGGTGTTAACAAAAACTCCAATTAAAAAAAAGGTTTTGTTAAGAGCTTCCCATTAATAAACATGAGTCAATTACATAATAACAAATTAGAATGCAAGATATCTGACATTTCAGCAGTGGGTTTCTGATACATAATTGGCAAAAGTTTTCTGTTTTCCATTTTCACATAAAAGAACACCTTTATGTAACATTCGCACAGGTCTGTTCAACAGATAACACTCAGATATTTCTGAGAGCACATGTAACCAGCCATCATCTTCATCACCATCCTCCTACGCTCAAAACAAAGCCCAGATAGCACTTTCAAACATCCACCTGAAACATTTTCTTTGCTTTTCACAGTAATGGCTGTTGCATAACCCACTCTGACAAGAGTGGAGCATGGCCTTCCCTGTGGCAACACCACAACCTCCCACAGCCTCTCGTTCAATAGCCCACCCGAGGCAAAATGAGGCCTTTTCAACTGCAGAGGACGGGTACAAAGGGAAAGAGTGTGCATAATGTAAATAAAGAATCACGTGTTAATGAGGGGTTCTCTTGACCAAAAACAGAAAGCGCAAAACACGCATTTTCAGCCTCTGTAGATCATTAAGAAAATCACAACGTGTGAGGGACTGATGATTATTTCTTCTGGAGATCACATCATAATGACTGTGTGCTCTTGTGCTCTGATGGGGTCTTTGTGTACTCCTATTCCTTTTCCATTCTTACTGCCTTCCCTCTATTAGTACCCTGCAGCTCTCTTTTCTCTCGGCAATCATTTAACCTTGTCCACTGCAAAAAAAGACTGTGTAGGATTTTCGTCAAAACTCAAAAAAGTACCATGTCTATCAGATCAGATCAATATCGTACGCAGAGACTCTCCATATTTCCCAGGTAGTTGGTAATTTTCCTGCAGTAGGTTTTCTTTGTTCATTTCTACACCTGCTGCCCTGCTTGTTTAAAAACTACCATCTGTTCAGTCACTAAAATTATAGCTGCTTGGATGGAACACCACATGGCCCAAAACTATATAAATGAAACTTTTTCTTGTCACTCAGCTTTTCAACTGAAATGTTGAAAATGCATCATTTCAGGATGACAGTTTGCAAATATGTGCACAAGACAGCGTTGATATGACTTCTGTTAATTAGAAAGTTGGCAGGTGCTTGGGTCTAGGGTTAGTTTATTAAAAATAGGTGGTGATGAAACCTCAGCAAATACGTACAAAACATATGTAGGTATTTGGATCCCTTAATCTGTCGATTAAAAAAAACCACTAAATACTTAGACACTAGCTACACTTTATTTAGGAGAATTTATTTCGGATAAAGATCGGGACTGATCATCCGGCAACAGTTTTGGTGTGAAGGAAAAGAGGGCAGTACACCCAATCATGCAACTTACAATGCAGAGCTTATGGTTGAAACAAATAGGGCTTCGGGAATTAAATAAACTCATGAGAAACTGATTCTTCTTGCTCAGAAGAAAGAGGAAGAGTCAGACATAAGCAGGGCAGCAGTTAACAGGATGATTTTCACTCTCTTTGATTTTTCACAGAGTTATTGGATACATGATGCGCTGTCCCTCTGGAATACAAAGCCATGTTTCTTCTGCTGTGAGTTGTCATATGATAGTTTGGGGTGGGGGTTGGGGCCGTTTGTGAGGAATGATGCCACATGAGGGAAAAATACACTCACATGCAAGGATTGTACACCACAGATTTATTGGATAAGTATAGGTTTCAGCTCTTTTCCTGGTCATCGCTCTTGAGGTGCAGCCCATGCCACAAAAAAAAAAAAAAAAAGCTTCCATTATAGACTTCGAACCATGTGATTTACCTTTCCATGAAGATGCCATTTTTACTTTCACTTCATAGGCAGTCAGCACTAAGCTAATAAAAAGGTAACATCAGAAATATAAAGATTTAGCACCGGTGCAATGCAAGCATCTCTTGGAGGAGCGCAACTAATTTTATTTATTTTTCACAACTTTGCATGTTTAACCAGCTCCACAACATTTAGGTCAGCACCACACAGGAAATAAAAAGCTCTGAGCTTATAGTTTTGGACAGAAAATTGAGGGCATCTGAAATGTGAAAACAGCATTCCCATTCCTCAGCAGGATGTGGGCTGCATCTCGACGAAATATCTAGCGCACCACTAAGGCAATCATGGCTATATGAGGTGACATCATCCCCTGGGCCCTGAGCCCTGTGAGCCAACAGCGACCAGAGCTGAGCTGTAATCATCCAGGCTGACATCTAGAGCAGCCAACCTGCAGAGAAGAAGGATCATGGAGCCCATAACCAATTGTCTGATGCAGGCATGATAGTTCAGCTTCTAGAGATAGACAGCCAGCGAGCCTGCCGGTCCCGTCTTGTCCCTGAGCTCTGGATTTCATGCCTCATTTAAAGGCATCATCTACATTCTTTGGTGATGTGATTTATTGATTGGCTGGTTACTGTGGTCTCTATATCTGTGCCACCTCTATAGCCAAGACTAAAATGAGTGAGGGAATGGAGGAACAATAGAGTTATGAAAAGTATCTACGCATTTCCTTAGGGGAGCAAACTATGTTGGTCTTTGGAGGCAGGGAGAAACAGAAGTAGAAGTAGTCTAATGTAACACAATATTGTCACACTGCTACTCGAATGGGCTTCAGTTATATTAATGCAATCATTATTTTAAGATAAAATGGTAGACTTACGTAGATCTCATTGTGGTCAAAGCGGTTCCTCAGGTTCTCGATGAATGACTCTTCAGACAGGGGTTCTAGGAGGACCATGTCGCCAACCCCAATCATGTTATCTAGAAGTGACGTCTTCACCTCCATTTTGGCTGCAGGCGTTGCCCCCTGGACAGAAATACAGAGGAAGGAAGAGATACATCACACTTACTGTAATTTAAAAAAAGGTACCCTGTGGAGTTTCACAATACATTTAATCGTAATCACAATCCAAAGTGTGATCTTTAAGCTCAATTTTGATAGACTTGAAAGGCAGGCCTTTTCTACAATATTGCATTAAAGTTACTACATGTTTAATCTGAAGTTGTCAACAGAAGCCACAACAATACTTTAAGTACTAACAACTCAATTCCACTGTTTAGACCCAACAATCACCCAAGTAAGAGCCATGTGAAGTCATTTGTCAGCATAGCCATATACTTGGTTACATTACACTATTGGTTCGTTCACGTCTAGCAGATTCGCTAGAGGTTATGTGAAGTTTGGAAACAGAAGTAATAGGACATTAAGTATTGTGAGCTCAAAGTGTCGCCTGAAATGTAGATTATGGATTTAGAGCACAGTCTCGATGTAAAATTGTCAGATTACCCAGCCGTACGGTAATGCGAACATCGCAATGACCCAGCAAAGTCAGCGAAGAAGAAAACTGCTAGCAACACGGATGTAAACAAAGGGTGATTTAAAATATCCTTTAAAAATCTTCTTTGCACATGTTTTATGAGGAAGAAACTGCACTTGTACTCCCCAAAACAATGTGTCTTTTGCAAAACACTGCTTCAAGAAATGTATCCCTTTATTACACCTATTAGGCCATCATTTTATGTGTGCTGTCCATTATTTGTGAGGTCTCTGGCAACGTTTTTTTTTCAGAGGCATTTCTCTGATCAGAAAATAAACAGTCCTAAACTTAGCCAAAGCAAATAAACTCTGGGATGGACATGTTTGTACAGCAGTGGTTTGACTCCAGGGGAGGAGCGGGGCCTTTTGATTGGCTATTCAGTTCTGTTCTCCTGCGGCATGTAAGAATGTCCCATAGGCAATTACATAACTAAGGAACTTTGCCCTTGACCTCTGAGTGTCTGTTCAGCTGGAATCTGCTCCTGTTTCAGGGCTTCTTATAAGTCAAAGAATTCATCCCCCAAAAAAGTTAACTGCTTCATAGCTTTTCTTTTTTTTTTTTTTCCAGCCGGCTTGCTTGTTGAAGCAATATAATATTTGTGGCCGGTAAAGGATGTGGGCCGCAGTGCACTATGACAAAGACACTGCTGGTGGTGGCAGTTTTCAGTCCAGTGTTGCCTCCCATCTCCTTTGGGACAGTAATCCCAATGCTATAGGGCTGGAGATAAAAGAGGGGCCTAGAATACATTCAGGGCCTTGATACAGGGCTTTGCTGTACTAAAAACCCAATGTCTGCTGTTGTGACAGACAGATGAGGCCATGTAGTCGTCTATTGTTCACTGCTTCTTAGTACAGACATCTTTTTTTGCATAAACAAACACTGGCTGGTACAGAATTAAAATATGACAAAGCTACAAATGTATAATGTAACTGTTTCAGATGTGCTTTTCAATAAATAAAGCAGCGATGTGTGTGGAGGTTAGAAGATGATCTGAAATTAGCTACCATCTGGACACCTTGAAAATAAAAAAAATCTTCAAAGATTACAATCACATAAATATCTGATAGAGATTTCTGTGACAAGTTAATGTTGGAGAATTAAAAAACTAGATCAGAGGATAAAACAGTATGTGATCTGCAACAATTGGCCAAAACAGGATGACTCAAAACTCCCAGCACTTCAGCACAAAACCCCTCTATGAGCTGTCAAATCAACTTTTAGCAGCAACTTCAGAGCAGCATGACATTCCTGAAAAAAAGAAAAAAATGTTTCTCCTGTGTTGCTTTCCACTTCACTTTTTCCCTGGCTTCTGTTCCCCTGCAGGGCACAGTGTTATTGGCCCATAAAGAAGTTGCCCAGCTCTTAGTAGGAGGCAAGACTCTAGTTCCAAAAGCACTCACTCTTACACTCAGCATGAAAACAAATCTTTAAAAAAGGTGGGCACAGACAGATGGGAAAGAACACTGAAAAATGATTGATGTCCTTTTGCAATTAAAACATTTTAAAGGGCTTTAACAGCTCAGTCTTGACTCAGACAGATGTACAAAGCGGGGGGGGTGTATTTGCTTACTTGTCAACCCACCGTCCACAGTCCTTCCAGGTGATGGCTCATGTCTACCAGCTGATTTGGTTGTGTGCAGTGCAGTTTTAAAATCAAGTTATTAATTTTTTTATGCATAGTTGCTGATTGCAGTTGCCCTGAAACAGCTCTGTTATCTCACACAATATGTGTTCTTTCTGGAAGGTTGCTGCAGTTTAAACAGACTTAACCCTAGAGTAAGAGATATATATATATATATATATACATACATACATATACATACATACACACATATACATATACGCGCACACACACACACACACACACAATGAACATGCAAATAAACTGAAACCCTCACAGAATATCAACCATCCAGAACATCAGATAATGTATGCATTAGCCTGGCATAATCAATATTGTTCAAACCAATACCACAAAGTAGTTAACAACCCAGCGACTGAAAACCCACTGCCTGACAATAAGCGCATAGACTTGCTGCATTGAAAGTGCTGAGTCTAGTCTCTGGTATGAACAAAAACAAGCTTAAAAAGGACATAGCCTACTCCTCAGTGAAAACAGATGCTGAAGCCTGTCGGTGACCTGGGGGAGAACACTATGTGTCCATGTCGCCCGAGTGCCTGCACCATTCTGACCAACAACATATTGCATCTGTCTGCAGCCGGGATGCCGGATGCCCTCAGCTCCTTTGCTGATAACCCACTACCCCAGATTTGGAGCTGGCTGCTAGGCACTCAGTGACACAATCCCATTAATAAGAGTTGCTTCCTGCTGCTAACTGTTGTACTGGATCCAAAGAGGGAGAATGAGAGAAAACCTGACAGCCTTGATTAATACCCAGGGGATTATCTTCACTGTTGAGTGGAGGAGAGATGAGGAATATAACCACTCTATGTTGGTAAAACATTGATTTTTTGTAGTTTACCTCAAACGAAATGAAGGACGCAAAAAAACCCCTCTTAAATACACTCATTTCATCAGTCTAAATCAAAGTGACCCCACTATGAACCTTTAGCGAATTACCCATGAACTGGATTAGAAGTGCCCTGCTTTATCAATCTCTCTGATGCATTTTGCATCAGAGATTGATTAAATCTCTCTGATGCATGTTCAGGACATAAGCGTCACATGTGACCACGTGGTTTAGCTGTTATTAATCTCAAATCAAAATCTCATGAATCAGAGATGTAGTGAAACTTATGGTAAAAAAAACTCTGTCTGGACGCATGTCACCTTAACAGAGAGCACTCTCCAAGACCTGACTGGCACAGTGCCTGTGTGCAGCAGATGGAAGTGGTTTACACAACATTAAAGCTTGGCACATTTAATGCTGACCTAATGTACCAAAAACATCACCAACATTATATTATGTTAGCATCTTTCAAATAGCTGGATCTGTGTGGACTTTTCTGATTTGTCTTTGCAACACTTTGCATGAATGATGGCGTACATGTAAAGAAGAAATGGAAAGTGTTTTCAAAAGGATTCCCTAATTACTTCTTGCTACATTTCCTGGTACAACTACCTGTCATTATGCATCATCAGCTATCAGCATTCCCCTTCAACCCCCCCTCACCCTGTTGTCACGCAATATTCAGCATGCGGGCAAGATCAACTAGGGCACAGCTTGAAAGTCAGGAGAAGGGCACTCACTGAGTCACTGTTTTGATCCTACATACGACATACAGCACAGTAAGTCACAGAATTACATTTTAAATTGAGTTTGATAGTTTGATAATTCCCACAGATTAAAATGCAACAGGAAAAAAAAAAAGTAAGATTTTATCATCAAAAGTTGATAGGGATGGGTGGGCTGGACCTTGGATTTCAATGCATGTAACCAACATTATTATGAGACGTGCTTTGCCTCTTGCCTCTGACACTGACCCAGATTTCACTGCCAGATCAAGCTAGGAGGAAAACATGAAAAAACACTATTAAATGTACATGTATTATTTACAGGCCCTAGGCTGAAGCCACGTGTTCTGCTCTGTTCTTCAGAGGAAAGTCATTCAACCAAAAGGTCAACAGCCGTGAGGGCAGCCATACTGGTGTAATAGTGAAAGTGCTGAAAAGTTGAGGCAATAAAACAGCTGTTACTGGTAAGGATGCATGATGTCCTTTTTTTTTTTGAACGAAGAAGCTCAGAGAGGCTATCAATTTAGAAATGGTCAATATTTTCATCACAATCAACAAAGCAAGCTTGCAGTCTACAATGACATGTTGTCTGTGAGAAAGCAAATGGGTATTGTGTGAGCTACACTGAGAGATGATTGGCGTCATTCTACCTTGGGAGTGCTTGTTTGAGAACACAGTGGCGTAGCTATGTGCAAACAAATGATAATAAAATCTATTATGCACCGTAATAATCTGTAAATTCCCCTCAGATCAAGCTGGCCTTGTCACGGGGGCAGGAGAGTCACAACATCACAGGCTGCTGGCAATGATGGCGATTAAAGCCCTCCCTAATGGAGCAGCAGCGGGGCATGGGGCTGTGCCAAAGAGCAGGCCAGGACAGAGAGGACCAGAGAGCAAGCTTGCTGCCTGAGAAAGTGACCCTGGAGCTCAGAGTCCTCCACACCGCTCCAGGTGCAAATATGCATGAGAGTGTGTGTGTGTGTGTGTGTGTGTGAAGCAAAGGTGGGCACACAACCAAACTGGCTCCGCTTTGCAGCCGCGCTGAAACAGACTGAACAAACTGAAAACATTTTTCAACAACTTGCGCTTAATGGCTTCTATTGAATGATTTCTGCCCTCTGTCGAATGTGCACACATGTGCGAGGCAAACAAGAGTTTTCATAACACACAAGCATCCAGCCTGGTTAAACATAAACCTGTAAACCAAACAAACGCTGCTCTTTATTTACAATACAGCTCATACAGCAGGGAGACATCAAGACTGGTACATTTGCAAAACATGAGCCCTCAGCTGGCAATCAAAAAAGGACAAAGGAGCCAACAGCCGTGGGATAATTAATCTACTAAGCATACAAAACCTTGATTGAAAAGAGACAAGACGACCGTCCGATGTGTTGGCTTTAAAGGCTCTGAAAACATATTTTCAGCTTCTTACTATGAGCGGTGGGATCCTACATGATTACAAAATAATCTGCCAAAGTTGGAACCGTTCTGAAAATGTTGCATGAGAGATTTGAGGGTTTTTTTTTTTTGTCTATGCTTCTAACTGATTTAAAGTGGGCGTGACAGTTAACCCTGTACTGTTTTACATAAAAAAAAAAAAAAACTCTGCCCATGGACTTTTGTACAGTTAATATGATCATCTGTTCAATCAACTATCATATAAATACACGCAGAAGAACAAGGTTACAATTTTCACTGTATTATAGTACATGAATTCACTCCAGTATGAAAATGTTCCCCAGACAAGCTCCGCATTACCAGTTTTAGCATCGTCTGCACAACAGGCCGGCAAACACTTGGTCTGGCTTGGTTTCCCATAAGTGAATGGAGAAAGCAGCTGTACTGGACTTAACAAATCAACAGTGAGCCGAATCAGAATGTACAGCATTATTACTCTCGCTCCGTAGGGAGGCAAAGGGCGTAGAGTTTAAGCAGTTAAGTTGAATGGAAATGGGAAAATGTTCTGAGTCAAACAGTTAAGGGGAAAGTTCTTTGTTAGGATGGTGAACTTGAAGACAACGTTTGATTTTTTTTATCCTTTCAACTCCAAAGTAACAAAAAAGAAACTGTATAACTAACAAATGCAAATGAGATCTAGTTTATTGCAAAGTTGATGAGAAACTGAATTGGAAATGCAGCTACATGTTATTCAGGGGACTTTTTTTTATGCTTCCTGGCTTCAGAAAAATCTTCCTGTGAAAAAAAAAAGGAGGCTGCAAAACCAGTCTCTCTTTCGCTGAAGGCTTTTCATGGTTCAATCAGCGGGGCTGCACATGTGGGCCCCTGTCTATCTCTGTTGATGCAGGGCTGACACAAGACGCACGCCTCACTACGCTAAGCTGCACGGGCCAGACAAGTGCAAACACTATTCATCACCATGGCACTGGCTGGGAGACTTTGGCCCTGTATACACAACACATTAGACCCCAGCATCTCATCCGACAGCGTTCATGAAGAGGCTTTTGGCATGTTTTTAAAAAAAAAGCACTGATGCAACTCAAAGCGGGCCAGCCAACAAGCTCACACAGAGGAGAGCTACTAGAGTGGCCAACAGTCCCACACGCTGTCGCCTTCCAAGTCTGAGCTAAATGGTTGTTACTTTTTCCAGGAGTCTATCGAGCAACTCTGAAGGCTTACCACACACACTACCTTTCACAGTCATCTTACATCACTGTTTGTTTGATCAGCGCGGGTAATAAAGTTCCCATCTGGTTTCCCAACTCAGACTTTTCTCTTCTGACTCTGGCCAACAAAGAGGCGGGACATATTTGTGGAAAGCCACAAAGAGAAAGACACTAACCTTTTCTTTTCTTTTCTTTTTTTTGTCTTATCTGATCCTCTGGGGATTTTAAGTTCACAAAATGGAATTAGAAAGTTGAAAAAAACTGCCGGATTCAAAAGTCAAGCCAAGCCTAGAAACAGTCTGGCATCAAAAGGAGCAACACACTAGAAACATCTAGTATCAGTTTGTAACATCGCCCTTTAATTCATGTTTTAAATCAGTTATGGCCCACTTTAGAAGCATTTCTATAGGCTACATATGGAAATGCTCATAGTTTGAAGTAAACTGATTCATGCAAAAGAGTTAAAGTCAAGATGACACATTTGATTTATGCACAAAGTATGCTACATGCATTAAAACCACTTTGATATTTCTAAACTTCACGCACATACAGCTGGAATACAGGTTCAGTGGCAGCAACATTCCTCCATTGGCATAACGATGTAATCTATTTTTACATTCTGTATGTTTTATCTAATGCAACAACAGTGTGTTTTAATGTTGTGGTGTGATGCAGCTTTTCATCCCATAAAGTTACCCTCTCCATGTTTGATGAGTTTCAGGCTGGATCTCTCAAGAGATTCCCAGCAGAGAGAAAGCAGGTCAACTCTGACAAGACGCCACTTTGGGATGTTTCTCAGAGAGGTGAATAGTTGTATTCATGCAGTCCATGCTGAGCAGTAATTTATTCCAGGCGGCAGCATTAAGATCTCCTAAAACCTGGAGGCGTACCGCAGGCTAAACCCACCTTCAGTCAGTTCATCCACTTTCAAAGCTGACGTTGATCTTTTTTCTGTGTCCCATAAAGCCATGGCTTATAGTTTACATCATGCAGGGATATGATTTTAATGAAATAAGAAACTTTGAATGATCCCAAAAGTGAAGGTCAGAGTTTTCTGTTTTCATTTACCCCTTGCACAACTGACTATGACGCCCATTTGACAGAGAGCTTCACATCCACACATTGTTCAGGTTGTGTGATGATACCACCATTCGCCGTTATTGAGCCGGATACTCGCTGCGCAGCGCTATGCCAAACTTTGATAACCAGTTGCCATATCTGAAAAAAAGACTGAACTCTAAATGACTACTGAGAGCTGACACATCTGCTACAGCCCCTCTGCGTCGGGTTCTGCAGCGGTTTCACTGTTGGATTTACAAAGACGGCGCTTATAACCAGCAGATGTAGACAATTAGCGACCATCACTTTTCATCTCACATTAAATGAACCTCTGTTTGGGTTAAGGACAAACAGGAGAAACTAAACTCTCTATCCTATCAGTTGTATCCTCCAACAAAGTACAATTCGTTCACAAAGGGAAAAAAGAAAAGATAAACTAAACTAAACAAAATCCCGACCCCAACCCCCCCTCCTCCTCCTCCTCCTGCTCCTGCACACGGAGAGAGGAGGAATGAATGAGTTGGGAAGCAGACGGTCTGGAGACAATGCAAAGTTAACTTTTGAGAAAAGTTGCATCGAGTGCAAGAGTGTAACACACACACACACACGACCCAAACGACAACAAAGGACTCACAATTGTTACATTTTCATCACCCATCCGAGCAAAAGCAGATGCAAAAACTTGCCTCTTTATCTCTGCAAGAGTGCTCCCTCTCGTCCTAAATCCACTCTACGGACAAAAGTAGGATCCAAGAGGTGATTCTCCAAGGCTGGAGTGGCTCCTGAAGCCCTTCCCCGGCTGTCTTTAGTTCAACTCGTATCTGCTGTGCCGGATGAGGCTGAACGTGGCTCTCATCTGGATCTCAGCACTTTGAATGGAGCTCTGAATGGACTTCAGAGTGCGGGGTCCGCCGGGCGTAGGGAGTGGCTGGAGCGGCGTCTCTGGGCCAGTCCAGCGTCCCCTAATCACCTCCTGCGCGGGGAGGTGGGGCTGTGATGCTTTCAGATGTTGTCGGAAATGTTGCTACTACATGTTTTTGTCCACATGAAGCATGAATCCCCCTTACTGTGATACATACAAAGCTTTGCACAACAGTTTGCCAAGCACAGTTAATTTATAATATTAAACTTTACATACCAAAAAAAACAACAATAAAAATTGTATGCCTAAACCCAACCCTCATAGGCCAAATGGCGGATTTTTTTCCTTATCTACGACGACTTTCTGGAAAAGTAATGAATAAAATACGCATGTGGGATGGATGAATGTACTGATAACTTATGCTACTTATGTGGTTTATTTATTTTTTTGGAATATGTAGGAATTCTAAAAAGATATTTGACCAAACAGGGTTTACAGAAGTTCACGGAGTGAGTACTGAGATTTACGAGGTAACTTGTAACGCAACATTAAAGTTTTCCCTTCAAGCCAGAGACAGATGCAGCAACCACCCGACAGCACAACACCCCCCTCCTGTGTCTTAACGCTAGATAGCAGCGACTAGTTGACCCGTTGTGTAATTATACTAACGCTGGGGCAGTTTGGAGCTTGAACAGAGAGGGGCAGGAAACTGATCCTGATACAGCTTCTTGTTTTTTGTTGTTGAGGGGGTGAAACATTTCTGCTAGCCTATTCGTTTACCCGTTAACTAAAGAATATGACTTCCCACTGTACAGGGGTGTTAAGGTACAATGGTGTTCGTTATTACGCCCTCCTGCTTTATGGGCAGAGACTAAATGCAGTCATTTCACATTAAATAAAACATTCACGGGTAAATATACCACGGTTAATTCCCCTCCGACGTTTTTTCTCCGTTTTCTTACATTTTGTGAACTGTACTCTCCCCCCACACAAATGTAACGACCCACATGGACTCTAATGCGCATGCGCTGTTGCTCCTACAATTTCCTCCTACCTGGAACCTACCGACGGTATTAATACTTTTTATTTCACGTACTGTTTTTGCTCATAAAGAGGATTTCGGTGAGTTGCTGTCGTTGTTTTTGTGTAGTGTAGTGTCTAGCGATGGTGACACATGGAAGCGCATTGTGGCACTGCGTCAGGAAGACAAATGAGGCTGACTGTAGTTATTGATCGGCTAACGTTAGCTAACAGCAACGTCATTAACGTTACCCGGTGACATCAGACACTGTCTGTCTGTCTGTCTGTCTGTCTGTCTGTGTCATTTAACACCTTTAATGTCGCCGCTCATGCACTTGGTCTCACATCTTGTGTTAAAATATTATAAACAAACGTTAGGTAATATAACAGTGAACAGCAGGAGGCACACGTCCAGGACACAGTGTGGTTACTTCTTACTGTAACATTAATATACATTAATATACATTAATATACATTAATGTTAGTATTAGTAATCTGATACTGTGATATTGTGTAAGGCAAAAAAAAACAAAACAAGGTTGACTAACTCCACTGTTGTACCCTTGTTTGTTTCCATTACAATTATCTTTTAATTAATGCCAATTGTAAATATTAGACTGTAGTGCTGCACAATGTCTGCAGTTGTTTAATAAGCGTATATGAGGTGATGGTTGGTTTAATTGTTCTCAGCTGTGTGTAAAGCCTAATAACGCAGTTTTCATCTATTGCTGATAAATCTTTTTTTCTTTGGCTTTGTCTTCCAGACTGTCTTTTATGAGTAATCAAAGGCAGCAAAAGCCTACGCTAACAGGCCAGCGTTTCAAAACACGAAAAAGAGGTGAGAAACTTTGTTGGTAATTTTATTTATTTATTTTTTTTACAATCAAGCAGGTGAAGAACACCTGCTTGATTGTCTTCCATCTGTTCATAGCACTGACCTCTCTATCCAGCAGCTTACTTGCTTGCAGTCACAGACACCGACATATGATTGTAAGGTTTATTCGCTGAAGACCATCCTTGTTTGTTCACTGACGAGATATTTAATACATTTTTAAATGTCACTTTGCATACTAAAGAAAGCTGTGGCCCAAAACTGTTTTAAACTAATTTAATTTAAGCAGTGTTGGGAGTTTTTCACACTGAAGAGTAGGCACACATACATTTCTTGTTGAATAGGACTTACTTAAAATGCCTTATGCAATGCAGAGGATATGTAAATGTTTGTTTGGTCATGACATGTGTTTTTAGAAGAAGAGGGGATAAACTGAAGTAAATACATGTCTTTTCAACAGATGAAAAGGAGAGGTTTGACCCTACCCAGTTTCAGGAAAGCATCATACAAGGTCTGAACCAAACTGGCACTGATTTGGAAGCTGTCGCAAAGTTCCTCGATGCATCTGGTGCCAAGCTTGACTACCGACGCTATGCTGAAACTCTGTTCGACATCCTGGTGGCTGGTGGAATGCTGGGTAAGAGGCGGGGCTCTTCCATATTTGTTTTAGTATTATATTTTTTAAAAAGGCCTTTTTTCAATCATTGGTTTGATGGTAATAAATTCAGTTCATTGTACATCTGAGGACTAGGTGTCATCAGACTAATAATACCCAGGAAAACAACTTCTTCATTCAGTTTGGTGCAACCATAGAGACAAAATCATACAAAGTAAAGCAACTCATTGGAGGTATGATGGTTGTACAAGACTCACAAACTCACAGAAAATGTGTTTCCTTTCAGCCCCAGGGGGTACCCTGTCAGATGAGGTGACCTGCACTGAGTTTTGTCTCTTCAAAGCACAGGAGGACATGGAGACCATGCAGGCATATGCACAGGTGAATACCATTAAATTCCTCAATCCCTCATTTTTCAGTGTTATCACAGTACAAATGATGGAATATATTCCTTTCCTTTCCGTTCCCTTTTAGGTCTTTAACAAGCTCATCAGGCGCTACAAATACTTGGAGAAAGGGTTTGAGGAGGAGATTAAAAAGGTTTGTCGTTTGTTAGAGGCATTTTACAGAATCACATACTACTTTTCCAGGCCTAACTTTTCAATTCATTTCAACTCAAATTTAAAAAGAAATTGGATCGACTCAATTCAGCCTACAGGATTGTGCTTATATGTTTGTTCTTTCGCAGCTGCTGCTGTTTCTCAAGGGCTTCACAGAGTCTGAGCGCAACAAACTGGCCATGCTAACAGGGATTCTGCTGGCCAACGGCAATCTCTCTGCATCCATTCTCAGCAGCCTCTTCAACGAGAACCTTGTCAAAGAAGGTACTTACTTTTCTGTCTTGTAGGCGTGCTTTGTTGTGTTGTTTGTTTTGCCGATAAGGAAGTAGGAGCAGCTGGACTGAGATGAAATTAGATCTGAAGTGGGGGAAGAGTCATTTTGTGCCTTCAAATTAATCTTGAAAAACAATATAAACCATATTTGTTTACCTCTTTAATAGCTGTGATTGTTTTTTTTAACTGTTAAAATAGTATCCTCTCTTGCCCTTTCTCGCATATTGCCTTTCCTTCCCAACATCTGTCTTTTTAAAATGCGTAGCGTATTGTCTTCATGATGATTTCCTAACAATTAATCCCAAAATTAATTCTAAAAAGTGAAATCCTTATTTACTCTATTGTTTAAAAATCTGCCTACATTTTCCCATCCTAACTGTAGCGCAGATTGTGCACATAATGGAGCAATCAAACAGTACTGATCAAAAAGTATCAAATCTGAATCTGAAGTCATCATACCAAAAATGTTAATTAAGAAAATCGAATTGTTCCTGCACTGCATAAACATGACTAAAATTCTTCCATATGAGTGGATAAACGTGTGTGTGTTTAATGACACCACTTGCAGACTCATTTAGCCATGTTGTACATTTAGGTGTTTTGTTTGTTTTGTTCTTGTTAATTAATACCTCAAAATCAGTAAGTGCCTGCATTACGCTATTATTTCAGATTACATAAATTTAGCAAGCATTAACCTTTTGCATTTCCAATGACAAGAAATCTCCATAAACCATTGTAGCTGGTGTCAGTTGGCAGTAACAAATGATGCAACTTGTAACTGGGCAGACACACAAACTGACAGGCCAAGCTTCCCTCCAAGGACTGATGCCAACAAAGGGCAACTGATAAAGCTATCATACGATATGATTTTGACATTTAGAGAATTTTAAAAAGATATATCAATCTGCCGTCCAATGTCATTTTTTAGATTTGATACATTGCTCAAACGTGTTTGATAAGGATTCCTTAAACTGGAGAACCAATCATTTCTATCGATATAGATAGGGTTTGGAGATGGATTTATAGGTAAAGCTATGTACGGAGTGGAACATTTTGCAACTTGGAAGAATAAAGTTGACAGATTATGTAACAGGCAATGCTTCTAGACTTATTCAGACATATCTTCTGCTCTTGTCTACTGCAGCTTTGACTGACATGTGCTGACACCAATATATCTGCAATAAGCTTACATGCTTTGCCTAACATCACTTCAAGACAAAAGTTGCACTTGTACCCACCAAGAAGAATTCATCCAACAGCAGATATACACGTACATTTTTACACCAAAAAAGAACCTGAAAATCCAGCATTATGCATAAACAGTAAACTAGTCTTATCACTTGTGTCAGTACCTTTAAAGGCCTCATCACTTGAGTGTTAATTGATAATCTCTGAAAAAAGATTGAGATGGTAATTTGAGCAAGTTTTGCTTTGATTTGGAAGCCATATATCTTCTTGCTTGTCAAAAACTGAATGATAGATAGCTTTAGCCCAATAGCACCCAACGACCCTTAAACCCTTATGATTGATAGAAGTTGTCTATTTCACATCTGCAAACAGTATTACTGAAATGATGTTCACTGAAATCTGTTTCTTGTTTAGGTATACGTGCATATTTTATACATCTATGGTCCAAATTATTTTTTTGTTGTTTTTCTTAAGCATTGTTCAAGTTAAAACCTGTCTTATAACATCCTGTGGAGGTGTTTACCAGTGTATTACTCAGGCCTAGCTTTATCCTGGCAGGTCTGTTAGCAGCAGCTGACACATCTTTATCCATTTGTTCAGGTGTTTCAGCGTGCTTTGCAGTAAAACTCTTCAAAT